TTTTTTCTTTTTTTTTTTTTTTTTTTTTTTTGTAGAGAGTTCGCAAAGGAAGAATGCGGTGATGTTGGATAGTGATGACGCGGATAGCGTGAGTTCATTGTCAACTTCTCGGTCAGATATGATAGTGTCAGGTGTAGAGGAGGTTCAAGTTGACAAGGAGACTTTGCTTGATCAATGCGTCGATGCCCTCTATGAGAAAAGGTTTTTTCCAATGCGTTACGTTACATAATATAAGTATTAACCCCTTCGTTTCAATTTATGTGAACCTATTTTCTTTATAGTCCGTGCAAAAAAGAATAATTTTTTTCCTACTTGAAAGCAATTTAACTATATGCAATGATATATTTGCCTAAATTTTAATGTTGCATGTTAAAACAACTGCGCTCAGTCCCAAATAAGTAATAAACGCAAGTCCTGCCGTCATCGTACCAAAAAATGGATTAGTATTGCATGTTGAATAAATAAATTGGACAGTCAAATATTGCATTTACATAATTTTCACAGCTTTAAAATTGTTTGAATTCATTCAACTATGTAGATTTAAATTTTGATGTGATGTTTTATTTATTACACTTAATTTTCAACCCTTGTTTTAATATTTTCTTCTTGTGTTCATATAATGTACGTATAAGCTAAATTAACCTATTAACTTCCATATATAGTCAAATACCTGGGGATGTTTTTGTTTTTAAGTTTCAAAATTGTTTTATTATCATAGCTATTACCAATATGGTAAATATTTGTCAAATTGGCATTTTAAAATCTAAGTCTAGTTAAACTTCTTCATATAAAATAGAAATGGTGCAGAGGGCTATTAGCTTTTGGGAAAAAATAGTGGACCGTAGAGTTTTCCTTGGAAATGTTCTTTCTTTCTTTCTTTGACATTTTTTTTTTTGTACCAGCTTTTTAAAATGTTTAATATAAAGTGAGGTAAGCTTGGGGGATGAAAGTCGATATTTCACTTGCACTTTAAAGACATCTACGTTTAATAATGTTCTTATGAGAAGCTTTTTATGATTTGTGTTTGGATTGGATTGATTTATCAAAGAAAATAAAAATAAAATATAATTGCAAAACATCACTTTGTAAAACATTCACTTTTGGAGAATGAACTTTGTAAAACAATCATCCAAACTTACATTTATTAGTTCTAGCTACATTCGATAAGATATAGCTATATTCCTAAGTAAGATGTGCATTAGATTAATTTTAAATTTTGAGATAAATTAATATGAAAGTACTAAAAGGTAAGTAATCATATATCTTTGAAAAACACATAGGTAAAAGAAATCATATTGAAAAGATAAATATGTGAAAATTAAAAGGAAGATTGTTGATATTTTTTTGGGGGGTGGAAAAGCTAATAAATATGGTTTTGGTTTGCTTTAGTTGTCAAATGATATTTTGGTTTGAATTGTGGAAGCTAGAAACTGAACGCCAGTGAATGGTTTCTATACTGAACGCCAGTGAATCTATATAATGTACTTTATTTGCTAGTTTACGGGCAGGCATCTTATCGGAGGTTTCTAATATACGCTTGTGTGATTCCTGATGAAGCATATACTTGGGGTAGTGTAGTGCGGACGATTTTAAAGCGAATTCCCCATTCGTTAGGTAGAAAAGATCACCAAGATTTCGTTCCGGCATCCCAAGATTCCTTTTTCAACAGAATCTTTTGCATTCACAAGTTCAGTGATTCCTGTAACTTAATTTGCTTGTTAATCCGCATGTCTATAGTTTTAATTTTTGGAAAAGAACTTTTCTAAAGCAAATTGGGCTACAAAGCACATGTAATAACTAAGTTGTTTATTTAGCTCCAGTTGATAGATGGCTTGTATATGGTACTGCGTTTTGCTTCTGACAAAGATGTGACTGATATAAATTATTGTTTGTTGGCTATGTAGGGGATCAACAAGAGAGAACGCTCTTGCGTCTATTATAGAAGCCTTCAATAGCGACATACAACATGAGTTTGTTGAAAAGAAGTAAGGGAACTTGTGTTATGCTGATCTGTCAGTTGTCCAGCTTTTATTCTTTGACTTTAAAGTTCATATGGATGGAATGCTTGCTTTTAGGAATGACCTTTCTTGTGCTAGTATTACTTTTTGTTTTTAAAAAAAATCTTTGTTATGATGGTTAAAGGTGGTGGGTTCTGGCTAGTATCTGTAAAAGATCCTTAGACAACTTTTCTACCATATCGTAGTATCTACCAAATGCCAAACCAGCTAGAATTGCTCAGATATTTATGTCCACATGTGATTGGTTTACGGAATGTGAATGTTCTCTTTTGTTTCTAGGAGCACTACGGCCGTGACTATGAGTTAATTCCTTTCTTTTAGTAAAAATTTGTTATTTATGAATAAATGAAGATTTTGACTGCCAGTCTTTCTAATAGAAGGCTAATATCAAGGATTTGTTTGGTTCAAATAAATGATCCCATATGCTAGAGGGCCAAATTTTGTCTATCCACATTAATCTTATTACCTTAGTACATGTTTACAGATCGTTCAATAGCTACTTAGGAAATTTTAAGCCTTTAATGTAACTGCATAGCGGTTGCTTACCAAAAAAAAAATTAATTACGTGGCGGTTATTAATCTGTGTAACTTTTGACAATTTTTCTAATTCTTTTTTTTTTTGGTTAAAATTTCATGAGCCATGTGGGTAGTCTTTTGCAAACTGATGATTGTCAAATTTAAATTATCGCACATTCATTGATTATGCTACAATCAATATATCTGATAGTAGAAAACGCATTGAATATTTGGTAGAAGATTTAGCTCTTTTTTTCCCCCTCCGGTGTCCAATGAAGTATTTATAGCACTTGCCAATATTACTGATATTTTGTTTCTTTTAGGTCTTTATGCTTCCTGTCAATTATTGTTTTATGGTTTTAAATATTTACGGCCAAATCTTCAGCTTTGTTCTATTATGTTTTGACTTCTCAGATTGCTGTAATTGTAACCTCTTGTTGTGCTCTTTTCACTGTTATGTTTTATCATGCAGGTTTGCCACTTTGTTGCAACAATGTCTGAATTCCATTAAACGGGGCTCCTCCAAGGAGATAGCTTTGGCATCTCATTTTCTTGGTCAGTAATCTTCTAACTCTGCATATTGATGAGCTGTGGGGTTCAGATAGTTATCCTTCAAGTTGATTCCTAAATTTGACTTGTGTCATTTCGTCTGTGATTAGGAATTTTGGCTTTAACTGTTGGTCCTGGGGAAAAAGCACATGAAATGTTGGAAGAATTAGTGTCTCCTATTACAGAGGCTCTTAAATCTCGTTCTGAGACATCTAAGATATCTTCGGTGTGTTTGTAGATGGTGGATGCTTCTTTAAGTATTGTTATTGCTTAGCATTCAAGCTTGAATGCTGACTTTTGTTTGGGCGATTTCAGCTACTGGAGTGTTTGGCCATTATCACTTTTGTTGGAGGTGAAGAGGCAGAGGAAACAGACAAGTCAATGCAATTGATGTGGCAAGTCATTCATCCAAAAATTGGTCCTAATGTATGTACCCCTATGTTTATTTTTCAGCGGGAACACGATTTTAGAAGCTTGGTTTTGTTGCTTTTATGTGGATGTGTATTGCGATGTTAATGCCAATCCTTGATCCCTATCTGTCAATATTTCTGTTTTGCGTTTCACTATTTAAGGTTTGGTCTTGCTGGTGTCATGTGGATGGTATATTGTAACAGAAATTCCAATCCTTGTTCCCTATCTGAGTATTTTGTTTTTGCTTACATGACTTCTGTTACGTTACGTATTTCATTGACGACTGTATCTGGTTCATTGATCAGGTAGCTACTGCTAAACCTTCACCACGAATGATAACTGCAATGGTATCTGCGTGGTCTTTCCTCCTTACTACCATTGATGGACGGGCAGTAAACCCAAAAAGCTGGCAAGGGTGAGTATGTGCTCGAACTCCATACCTACCCCTCCCGGAAAGAAAAATTAAAGAAAAAGCCAGTAAAAGGAAGAAAGAAGAGAGAAAAGTTGTACTTGTTACATCCCATCAAGGACATATTATTTGTGTGGTATGTTTGGATGAAGACTAGAATGGGATGCAGGGTTTGTATTTGGTGAGTGTATGACAATTGGAGTGTGCATCTTCCCATGATGCAGGTCAATCTCTTACTTTTCAACTCTGCTGGACAAGGATGACAGAGCTGTACGCATTGCAGCTGGCGAAGCACTTGCTTTAGTTTTCGAAGTCGGGAGTCTTGAGAAGTTCTCTGTTGAAGATAAAGGATCTACTGACAGCTCCACAGATGAAGCAAACAAATCTAAGCATATTTTGCATATCCAAGGATTAAGAGAGAAGGTCCTGAACCAGATGAGAAGCCTTTCAGTAGAGGCCGGAGGCAAAGGATCAGCCAAGAAGGACCTCAACAGCCAAAGAAACACATTTCGAGATATCTTGGAATTCCTTGAGGTACCACTCTGTTTTCAAGTTATTGCTCTGCGATTGTAGTAGCTACTGGCTCTAGTAACTTCCTTACATTCGGTATTAGGATGGATATACTCCAGAGAGCTCAATGAAGATTGGTGGGGAGTCGCTTACCACAAGCACCTGGCGTCAACTGATACAGGTCCTTGTCATTCCTGTCAGTCTTATAGCAACTAGCTAGCTGCTTATCTGCTGAAATTATGTGTAATTTGTTGAACAGTTAAACTTCCTAAAGCACTTCCTTGGAGGAGGTTTTGTGAAGCACATGCAGGTTTATTTTGCTTACTCATCACTTGAGTTTTTGGGCTGTTGGTGTTGGTTTTCTATTTCTTATAATCTATATTCCTGTCCACTGTGCAGGAAAATGAATTTCTTCATGATGTCGTTGGTTTCACACTGAAGAGAAAATTGCTTTCGGGTGTTGGGCATCGTGTATCTGGAACAGAAAAGGTGCCTCTGTGCTTCTAAAAGCACTTTATTTTATGGATATGTTGTGTATGGATGTGCTGAGATCACTTTAATTTTTTTTTAAAAAAAGAATAAGCCATCACCTTCAGGGCTGTGTGCCTTTAGTATGGGCGGTTA